CTCAAAATTACACTCAATAGAAGTAAGGGAATTTAGTTCATTAATCTCAAAATTATCATTAGCTGTTAAGCATCAAACTGGGAGGAAAACATGGGGAAAAAAAACTGAAGAATTTAAAATGCCGTTCTCCCAAGTGTGTATTGGGTCGTAGCCCATACCTGAAGTAGGCCAATTGGGAGGATCGGCCTGCAATTTAAAATGAAGAATCATTTATTACATTTTTCTGGGAGATTTTAATAATGAATATATGACCAACAACAATTGGGTTTAGTAAGATGAGCTAACATATCAAAATATAGCGAATTAAAATTTAAATTTTCGTTAAGAGAAGTGTCCATATTTAACATCTAACATCTAGAACATGATTGTCTCTAATAGGAGGATACCCGTATCGTCTCAAAAAAAGACAAAAAGAAAAAATGAACACATGAAAATGAATGAATATTGTGCTTTTAACAAATCTCCTGTTGGGGTTCACTCGACAAAAGGACTCAATGGGGGAAACATAACACATGCCTTTGGCAAGTTTCTTGAACACAGTAATTACCAAGTCTCAATACCTTCATGGTATTGTCCACCGCACAAGGAGCAAAAGGAATCTCCCACCACCATGTTCATCAAACCTCGTGATCGTAAAAATACTATCAAGATCTACCAAATCTGGCTTGCATGGTGGCAAAATGCGTAAAAACAAAGAAATAAGTAAAAGATAATGCTTTGATGTTAGCAAATTGCATAAAATATGTTGTCCCTCTCAAGGGAAATCCTACAGACAAACGGCATCCATGGGGAAAGGAATGCTTTAACTTTCTCTACCGTGGTCAAGAACCAGCTTTGGTGAACAAAGCTTCGGGGATTCTATTTGTTGTCAAATGATTCCTTTCGAAACAAATCCGCAGGCCCATTCATTCTTTCATTTTCAAAAGGAATTTCAACATTTCATCTGATCATTGACAGGTTATTTCGATCAACGTCTTGTAGCCGTCTTTCTCATTGCCTTTCCATTTGCTCACGCATTTTTAATTTTACATATTGCATAATGCAGATTGCTCCTTCAAGCAGTGTGTTGCTCAGAATCTTCATGCACGACTTTGATATCTTTTTATCTCATAAAAAATTTCCTTGTATGCCATGAAATTTTCATTAACGCCGCACCACAAGACATGGCCACTGATTTCCCAGTCAAAGGCAGAATTAGTTGTACAATTCAGCCCATGAATCATCTTAAAACAAAAGTTAATACTATCTCATGTTCTTCATATAAAAGCTAGTTAAGAGTTGAATTTGATCTTAGATATAATTTATTTTGTCTTTTAAATTTATAATATATATTTTTTAAATATCCTTATTGATTGTAAGGAGTTCCACTAATACATAATTCAAATGCATATGATTAAAGAAGATGGTTGAGAAAATTCAGCATACATAGATCACAATTAACCAACTTAACTCATTTTCTTAATATTCTCAAATTAGTTATATAGTTCTTTAGAAATAACTAGCATATTTAGTTGAGGAACTTACTGTAAAAGAACAACCCAAATTCCATCATCTGCCAAGTACAACGGATGCCAAAGTAAAACTACACTTGAAAAGCAAAGTCAAGCAGGACTTCTGATAATTCATCCAGAAAATGGAGCTTCATTACTCAACTGATAACTCATTCAACGTCAAAAGGGAAGAAAAAAGACTAGAGCTGCTCCCCATAAAAAAAAAAAAAGGAAAAAATTGAAGGACATTTACAAGTATGGATGTAGTGCACTCTGAATTCTAAGTAGGAACAAAATGAATTTCATTCACTAGCTTACCCACTGTTTATATCCTCAGTGTTCATTTGCTTTTCCTGCTCTAAATAGTAAATTTTGTCACGCATACCTTCTTTGCTGTAGGCCTCAATCATGATAGAGTATGTAGTGTCATCTGGTTGGCACTGGTTATCCTTCATACGGTTGAAAACTCTCTCCATCTCGATCAAATCCTCTGCCTTTGCACATGCAGAGATGATGGCATTGTAAAATGAGACATTCTCAGGTATCTCAAACCTCTTAGCCAAGTTAACACTGCTAATTACTTTATGGAAGAGACCTGCATTGGCATAACCATCGATAAGGCAGCAGAAAGTCTTGGTATCAGCTTTCATACCCTCAGCACGCATCTGATCAAATGTATATTCCATGTGTTTAGCATCCCCGACGGCTGCGAATGCCTCGATCACATTGTTATAAGTTGAAGTTGTCCAGGGAAATTGAAGCTTGCGCATATACTCCATCACAGAGGACATTTTATCATACATTCTTTTCTTTCCATAAGCACCAATCAAAATGTTAAAAGTGCGTGTTTCTGGTTCTATCCCGAAATTTCGAAACTTTTCATACCATCTCTCCATCATATCAATCTGGCCCTTGTTACCAAAGATACTGATGATTGTGTTCATTGTCCACACATCAGGCTTGCACGTTGTACTATCCAGCATATTTGACAGCACTTTCTCCATCTGATCATACTTCCCTGCCTTGCCATATCCACTTAAGACAATGTTTTGAGTGACAGTGTTTGGGGTGATAGACCTTTCCGCCATCTCTTCATACAGCGACTCAACCAAATCAAATTTCAAAACATCCACGCAAGCTTTAATTAAAGTACTGTAAGTGAAAACATCAGGCTGGCAAAGAGGGAGCTTCTTCATCTCATTAAGAGTTAAAAATGCTTCATCAATAAGATTGTTGCGACAGTATGCTGCGAGCAAAGCCGTGTAAAGTTCAGAAGTAGGCTGACAACCTTCTTCAACCATAGTGTTGAAAAGCTGATGTGCACGTTGAGGTTGGCCACATCGTCCAAGCAATACAATGAGTTTCATGTAAGTCCCTTCTTTTGGTTGGTAAAAGGGTTGCTCTCTGAGCATCTCGAATACCTGCACATTTAGATTATTTAACCCATATGTTGCCATATAGAAAATTGTCATCTCAGCTATTACTAATTCACAATAATTTCAATTGGAAAAACCAGCCACGAGATTAGTCTAAATGAATAAAGTCTAGAAACCTCAATTTGATATAAACTCTAAAGCATTGATAGATGAAATTGAAACCTTATCGCGCTCACTAGTCACTACCTTTATCATTCGCAATGCAACACTTTAAACCACACTTAAACCATGTATATTTAATTTTGTGTCACACTAACCGCAGAGCGAGTCATTGTTGAGTGTCGACTGCTTTATATACATATCCACGTCAACAACGATTATTGGCATATAAAAAATATCAAAACTTGTGCACAACATTACACATTTGAGTTGTAAACAAGATATTAAGAGAGAGATGCTTAATTTGTGAAGCAAATTCAAGAAAGAGACACCGAGTTACCTCAAGAGCTTGAAGCCACTGTTTTTTATCAATTCTATCAGCCAAGCATTCAGTGACGGTGTTGACCCACGCCTTAGCCTTGACCTTTCGGTCCAGCTTCTTCTTCACATTCTTAATTGGAGTCCTCCTCTCACTGCCAGGTAAAGTTGTTTCGGAAACACCCGGAAATTCACCTACTTTCCAGTGCCTCTTTTTAGCGACCGAAGAGGAGGAAGAAGAAGAAGTTTTCGACGATGGAGACGCAGTGGCGCAGCGGATAATCCGAAGGGGTGGGTTGTGGGTTACAGGATTAGGGATATGGTGGATCTTGCATTTGTCCTTAGAAATTGGGGAGGGAAGGAGGGAAGAAGAGAAGGAGAGAGAAATTGAAGCCATGGGAAAGCATGAAGCTCAGTGCTGCGTCCTCGCTCCTCAGCCCAGAGCTGGCCTTACCCTTCTTCTGCCCAAAATCCTAGCTCTCAAATTACTCTTCTCACCTTGTCTTTCTCAATTATCACTATCATGTATATTCAGAACACGGCGTTGATGCTATGCGCCTGCGCGTGTGTTTTTTTTCAAATTTATAATTTATTGTTTTAAAAAACTCTTATTAATGTAAAGTATGTCCACCTAATTGAAGTTCCAATATACATGATTAAATAAAGATAATTTAAGAAAGTTAACACATACTATCTCTGGTTCTTTATATAAGATCTTGTTTGCCTTTTATTTTAATCCTAAATAAGTAAATATAAGAGCCTAATCCACTTTGTCTCTCACATTTATATATTTTTCTATGATAATCCTTCTAACAATAGTAGTTCCAGCCAATACACTTGATTAGCAAGGATGTTTTAGAAAAGATAATACCTATTTATTACAAATAACTAATCTAACTTTTTTTTAATCTCCTCAAATTAGTCAACTAGCTCTTATAATTAGGACCGGAGATAGTATTTGTTACAAATAATTAATTTAACTAATTTTTTCAATCTCTCTAAATAACTTATCTAACTCTTATCTTAAAGACTAAGGTTAGTATTAGATATTTTTCTTACATGACTTAGTTTTTGATTATTCATAAGTCATATGGTTGAAAAAATGATACCATGATATTATTATACTCCTCTGATCCTAAATATAATATCCTTATTATAAGGGTATTATATTTATGACAGGAGAAGTACAATGATTTATCATGTTTTGCATACGACATTTTAGGTTTTTTTTTTTGTGGTCTTGACCTTGAGTACTGGTTTTTTGTTAAGCCTCAGCGTACTATTATCGCGATTTGGTAATGGTGAATAATCATGTGAAATTCATTATATATCCACAATACGTGTTAAAAAAAAATCAACATTCAACATTTCGTATTTTTTTTAATTAACACTGATTGTTCTAAAGTTAAAATACTAGTGAGAAAACTACTTTCAAAATAAAATTACGTAAAAAATTAGTTTAGAATACTAAATATTATTGAAAATATAATATTTGTTGCGTACCATCTTGCTTCTCAACATTAGCCTTGCCAACTCAATGCACTAGTTCTTCGTTTTTCAACGCCACACCATTATATAACAACATTTAGGAGTCAGATAAAGCATATCATATTCAAAATCAATAAAAACTTGCTACAATTGTTAAAGGAAAAAAAAATTAAAGGAATCGAGCTCATTAATAACTAATATTACCAGCCCACATCAGAAAACCCCTTTTCATATTATTCGACTAATACAAGGCATTCTCCTACATTTCTACAAGCTCAATCCTATCACTACATACATTCCTTATACCGTAGCATGAGTTACTCAATTATAAACATAAATTGCTGAAGAAGTCACCCTCATCTAAATATTTTCATGACAGCTAAAACTGCCATTGATGTATATATATTATATATACCAATAACTGTGACTCCCACATTTCAAAAAGTTAGAAGATTGGGGGGGGGGGGAGGAAGATGAGGGATGAAAGAAACAAATTGCAGGCTTGCTGCAAAAGAACACCTGATATGCAAAAACACTAAATTGAGCCATACTCTAATGATTCCCATCTGAAGGGCTGGAAGACATAAGAAACTTGGGGTGAGCTTTTGAAGAGCAAAGCCACACAGACACATACAGCCGCAATGGCCACCATAGATAGCATTGCTGGCCTATAAACCAGTGCTGTCCTCGTGCTGTGACGAGCCAGCTTGTGCTGACACAGTCCGCACTGATGTGCAATCGTTGCTGCTGCCATTTTAATCTTCTCGGTTTGCAAGCTTGAAACTTTCGATGATGACCTTTGCTTCTTCTTTGTGTTACTATCTACAAGGGAAGGTGGGATGTCAAGCACATAATGATGAGTTTCATCACTTCTCTTGCTTGCTTTTGTCTGGACAAGTTGAATGTAGGAGTGGTAGCCCCTCATGGATGCGTACTCCTCTGGGGTCAAACCTGTGTTGTCCCGGGCACTTTTCCAAGCCTTGATTCCCACCTGACCAATGCCATAACCAGTGAATCTTGCTACCTAAGGTTAAAAAAAAACAAGTACTGACATCCTAAACCTCTCAACATAATTTTCTTTGGATAGGAAATGTAATTGCAGTCTGTTCCATGTCAGCCTCTCTATAATGAAAACCGAGAAAATGTAAGCATACTGAGGAAAGAACATACCATTCCAGGGTCATCAGTTAAAGCATCCAACACATTTTCTGAGCAATGCATGCTTGCCGCAACATGAAGCGGAGTCAAACCAGCAGGGCCAACACTATCAGGTTTAAATAAGAATCTGTCAGTGTACTTGGCAACTTCTTTGTCCTTACTTTCACCATCTGAAGATTTGACTGGTGCGAATTTCAGCAGTAGTTCCACCATAGGCTTGCAATTTCTCTTCACAGCTCTATGTAGAAGACCCAGGTCTAACAATGCAAGCTCGACAGAGGCATGCTCTCCTGCATCAATAGTACCCTCAAACACAATGTCCAGAAGCTTTTTCATCACAGCACACCAATCATGGTCCATGCAGAAGTCAACAAGCCACTTGAACCGATTGAAATGAAACAGATCCTGGACAGGTGCCATGGGACCCAACCTAGCTTTCATGCGACTTCTATGAAGGAGCCAACCCATTTCTTGTACGAAATCCAAGGCTCGAGTCTTTTCTTCCATTTGTTTGCTTCTCATCCGTACATCTCTACAGATCTCAGCAGCCTCAATCACACTCTCCAGATTACAGATCTCTGCACAAATTTCTGGCTCCGCAACAATAAAAGGAAAGGAACAGCTGCTAAGACCAAAATCTTCCACCTAAGATCAACATAGCCAAATTAGAGGATGAAAGTCATCCTTCACAAGTTAGCAAATGGAAAGAAATTATTTGCCAATACTTTTTGTGTCATTTTAATGTTCCACTTGCATATTGTCGTACTCAGGGGAACCATATTCGGTGATCTAGGCTTTCTAGGGATAGATTGCCTTTAGTGAGTCACAATCACATATACAGACATGCATTTTGATCTGGGGAACCATATTCGGTGATCTAGGCTTTATAGGGACAGATTGCCTTTAGTGAGTCACAATCACATATATAGACATGCATTTTGATTATCTTGCTAATCTATGCATCTTTTAGCATATCCAGTTTAACTTAACAGCATGTTTACTTCTGCATTGAAAACCATAGAAATGTGGTTTCCGCAGAAACAGAACAGCATGTTCACTTCTGCATTGAAAATCATGAAAACGTGGTTTCTGCAGAAACAGCACTTTCACAGCAAACGCAAACATGTATTAGAAGGCGCGGTTTTTTTTTTTTTTTTGGGGGGGGGGGTGTTGGTTAGGAGCAAGATGCTACCTCAATAAATCCCCTCCCAGTAACACTCGGTATAGTGCAAGCGAACCTAAGGCACTGATGCTCATCATGTTCAATAGCTGGATCAACACCATCAATCAAGTCACAACAACTATACTGTGCCAGATACTTTCCTTCAAGTGCACAGAGTAACCTGAAAACAACATGAACGGATTAATTCTAAACCAATCTCATTTGTTTTGACACCTGAAACAATATCCAGAACTTCCCCACTTACTGAATTATAGAAACAGGAAAAAAAAAAAAAGTACATAATCAACTTGCAAACCAATATTATTTCCAAGAAATTAAGGTAATGTTTCATTTTCGTCACTTTCAAACCTATTTAGGCATCCAGATAAATATTTTATATAATATTATGTAAATTAACGTAGCTTATCTTTCAATCAGCCATCCGGTCAAGTTTATGGGCAGGAGCAAAAGAGATAACTCGGGTAATGTAGAGGACGAAGCAGAGATTTACCTTGTGCTAGAATGGAAAAGGTTGACACCTTTGACAAGAAATTGAGTGCTTGCCATTGAAGAAACAGCAAGTGGCTTAACACATGAAATCCTACAGTGTTGTGGGCTTCTAAGGCTCAAGGGAACGTCTAAGACAACCTGGCCTGCAGGAGAGATAAAAGAAATAATAATTCTAGTTAACAAAGGAAAATAATAGAAGTTTTTGCTGCTGCTCGTATTTTGTACTAAAAAGACAACACACGCACGCACACGCACACGCACAGAGAGAGAGAGAGAGAACAGACCATTATACAGAAAAGCTACAGAATGCTGCACTCTTGTATACACCCACCCTGTCGTCCAGAAAGAATCATTTGATGCAGCAAGAAGCTTTTTCAAGTTGAGTCCTAAATTACAGCAGAGCTGCATTGCCATATAGCATTGAGCAGATTTAAATAATGTTTCCAATGATGTCAGTAGAATTGGACGTCCATGACATCATACAAAACCATACCTCCTCCCATGCAGATTTTTCTAGACAGAGATAAACTGTTAATATGATACAGCCTGGCCTAATATAGCTCTCGATCTCTGTGGGACTGTGGGATAACCAGCTGAGAATCTGGTGCTCAAAACAAACCACAAATCAAATGTTGCAGAAAGAAACAATGCCATAATTATTCAAAGAAATTTCAGAGTACAGAAAGTACCTGTGATCGAAGAACAAGAGGAAAATCATTTGGATCCTTCCCAAAGAGTTTGAAAACAATTCGATCCGTGCGAGTCTGAAAACAATAAACAAATCACTATTTACTAAAACAAAATATCTACGCCAATAAACATAATGAAGGCCTATAAGATCAACATATTAACAAGAACCCAACTCATGCCAAAATAAACAATTACCGATGGAAAGGTAAATGAAACTGACATAATAAACCTAAAATCGGTGAGCTTGATGGAAAAAAAGCCCCAAAGCAGAACTCCAAAGGGGCAAGAAGACAGTAAGAATAAAGGCACAGTCAAATGTTTTTGCCAAACACCAATCAAGATAAGATATTTAAACAGTGATTTGGAATAAGCATTTGCAAAACCCTACTTCTTCAATACATGATAGAAGCATATCAAGAAAAGAACTTAAAATACTTCCAAAATGTACCTGAGCTTCTCCACTAGAACTAGAAGGTGACTGAGAGGAGGTTGAATCCGAGTTTCTGCTTGTCTGTGGTGGACTTGACTTTTGAGTGTCAAGTTGTAACCAGGAAGGATGATCAAAAGACCCAATACCCGAAGGCCCCGGTGGATGAGACTTCCTAAGGTTCTCGGCTTCATCTTGCACGTCATCATATGCATTATTGAGGTCAATGTGATTTAAACCGTTTCTTCTAATTGTAGTTTCTGCTGCAACTGATTGGAGTGGAGGGTTATCCCTTGACAGAAGCGTATTTGAAGGCTGTGATCCTGAAGGAGATTTTAAACTTCCAACCCCAACATCACCTGAAGGTAAGCATTTTTGCGCCATATCATATGCAGGCACTGTCTCAGACTGTCCCATAGGCTTTGGAGGGTCACGACTGCTGAGACCATTATCTGTCTTGATGGAAGAACCAGGAGATCTGATGGGTTCAGAGCCATTTGAATTTAGATTAGGCACTTTTTCGGAAGTTCCAGATGTTCCAGCATTCACCAAACCTTGGGATCCCTCCAATAAGGAGCTTATGTTCCTTCCATTGATTGTACCAGCCAGACTTGCCAGATTCCTTAGCAGATGAGAGAGAATATCTTGGTCCCTAGTAGCATCTGAGCCATTTGCTGCAATTTATAGAAGACAAAATCTTCGGAATTAAATTCATATGCCAATGATGACACCCCATATGGTATGGAAAGACAGAAAAAGTCCAAACAGCAGAAACATTTAAGTATACGCTCGAAATACAGTTAAACTCTTAAGGAATGCATCAGCAAAACAAACATTGACTACCTGGCTAAGCATTCAAGCTTCCTCTAGTAATGTGATAAAATATGCCCAAAAGTTAAAAGGAAGGCATATGGAAACATCACAAAATAAAATTAAACACGTCAATTTCAACATGGCTCCTCATTGGATTCCAGAAATTAGGTGACCAACCCCCAAGGGGCCATAGCCCCGTTGTTTTGGAGCCTGGAGTTCTATAGTAATGCCTCCAACTAGCCCAGTTAAACAGTTTAAGTTAAACAATCCCACTCCCAGTTACATGAACTAAGCCTTTGACATCTTCTCCATAGGAATGACCCAAACTACAACAACACTCAGTAAGCAATAGCACGTAATCAAGCCACAACTATAATTCCAAGACATCACTCACTCCCCTGATGAGTATCTTGATTATATTTATCAGTACGGTAACAAGGGAAAGCACATTTCTATACCTGTTAGTGTAAACCTAATAATGTGATTCGGTCCTAATTTGCCTATAATTGACGTAAATGCACACCAAACATCCCGAAGAACTCAACACAGATTATGTCTTTTAGTTCAGTTTTCAGGTGTTTCATACACAGTTGCTAGTAATAACTTCTACATGCCTGAGGTTAGATAAAAATCAACAGGTTCAGCCAACCTAAGAAGTAATATTAATAATACACTTTCAGTATAGAATAACCGATACAACCAACAATAGGAGGGACTGATACAAGCCATCCAATGACTGAAACAGGAAAACCAATGTAACTTAACTCTACTACTAACAAGATTTCCTCCCTTCTGACCACAATTCACCATGATTAACAAACTTTCCAAGAATAGCACACAAGAAAAAGCATTATTTCAGTTTCTTACTTGGGCAGCCAGTTAGACAAATATGAAGAATGCCGGTGCCAAGCAGATAGATTCTCAATTACACAAATACTCACAGTGCATATTGGACAGTATACGAAGAAGACTTGTTAACAAATAGCTGCTGCCCCTTTCATCATTCAGGGAGCCTCCATTAACGACAGCATCAGGATGTGTCTTTCTCCTCCTCCTATTGTGGCCTGCCAAACGCCTCCGACAACTTCTTTTCCCCTCATCAAACTCTTGAAGAACATGAAACCTGCCACAAATTTATTTATTTTTTTTGTTGGTTTTTAAAGAAAACCACATCTAATTGGAATGCCAAAGTAAAAGCTCTTTAAACGGAGATCTATCTGATGATATTTTAAGTTAGGAAAAACCTAGGTACTTAAACCTAAATGCTTGATGTAGTTTTTTCCAATCAAGTTAAAACAAGTGGATTTTTATACTCGTTAGTTACCCAGTAGCTAACTCTTGGTGTCAACATTCTTAACTAATTTCTTAATTTAAAACCCGCTAATTTTGATTTGAATGGAAATAAATACAATACGTATATAACCTTAAATATCTAGATTTTCCCCTTTTTAAGTTATCTATGCTTGAATAAAAGAAAACGAGAGAAGAACAATAAAAGGGGGAGGAGAGCACTGGAAAAACCCTTACGGACAACAATGTGAAATTTTTCATCTTCCCTACTAAACCTTCCACAAAAGTAACAGCTCGATGACCATATTATAAATCTGAAAGGAGTTGCACAAGAAACAGTGACTTTGTAACCAAACTGACCTGCTACACTGTTGACAGAAACGCTGCATAACATTTCCTACCAGTGCTTTGCTGGCCTTGGAATGCATATCACAGACCTTATGCCGACGGTGGTAATCTTTCGCATTACTAAGATCGGCTCTACAATCTTCCACCTGACAAACCGCTCGGTTTGAAGTAGTCCCACTCCCAACTATCTTTGTCTTCTTTCCACTTTTTTCATCCCCTTCCATGATGGGGTAAATTTGAGCCCCAAGGTTTAAATTTAGACAGCCAGCTTCATCATTCATCTCATCATCTTCAGACATAACGTCTCTCCTCCTTTTTTCCAATTCTCTCTTTCCTTTCTCTGGGTTGGCATCATCCCAATTAGAAGATAAAATGTTAGAAGGATTAGCTTTCGCAGGGATTTCAGGATCAACTGGGAAAGATTGCCTATTTCTACAATCAGAAGGAACTGGATTTAGCGGACTAGCAGTGAAAAGATCTCCGTCCCATTTCCAGTCTTCCAAATTCCACTCCAAACTCCTATTTCCAACCGCTTTCATTTCCGGCACCACAGGTCCATAGACATACTGATTCTTCCCCCGAAATTTAGCCTCCATGAATTAAACCCTTAAAAACCTATCAAAATTACAACACCCAGATTACAAATCCGCCCGAATAAAATACCCAGCAAAAGAAAACCGAAATAAACAGGCAAGAACTTCAACACACCTGCTAAGATACAGACATCAAACACCTACAAAGCATTATCCGAGAAAAAGAAAGCTGCCACAGCTAGTTCATCCATCAATTCGCCGGGTCAAACACACCCAAACAGCACAGAAGCAAGAGCATAAATCCAAACAAGGGCTGCTTAATCAAAACCGGCAAATCTACCAAACGATTGTCACGATATCATAGACACCCAGCCCAGAATTGCAAACCCCCAACTTGCATAAGCATTTCACATGATTCCCAGCTCAGTGCCAAAAGTCTTAGTACAAAGGACTGATATAGAGTCCAAAGAGAGATTTGAAAAGATTAGGAAGAGAATTAGCAAATAGCGGGAGAATAGTGAAAGCTGGAAGAGGAAGAAGGCGGAGGAGATGTGGTGAGATGAAATAAAGAGAGGGCCGGCCTCAAAAAGCATGCGCGAAACAGAGAAGGAAAGAGGGAAATTAGGAAAAGGTTAGGAAGAAGGGTGATGAAAATGCGGTTTCTGTGCCAAGATAGTACACAAGTGTCTTTAATTTTCTTGTGACGCCATGGTACCAAGGAATCTATACCCCACAACCCACCACCCACGACTCTCTCTCGCCCCTCCTTCTCTCTCTCCCTCTCGCTGTAAAAGATAAATAAAACCAGAAAGTGTCGAATCGTCAAATTCTGAATGCTGATGAAGATGGAAGAAAGAGTTGGAAAACGCGAATGTAAAAGTAAATAATGGCTCTTGATTAAGCTCGCCCAAGACGTGTCAGACTCAATTAAGTACTCTTTCTTAATATACTGTATTTGATTTGAAGTCCATCCTTGACTATTCCAAGTGAAGTTCTTACCTGCCCTTCAGGGCAGGACCACGCTGTTAAGAAATACTAATATAATTTAAAATTTATCACAAAATGTATTATTCTTTTTTTTTTTTGGTCAACTCAAAATTTATCATTCCTTAAAATTCATGAATTGAAATGGATGCATTTCATTTTTAGACTGTAAAATTCTTTTTCAATTGTATATAACTTAATGTAAAATAAAATGAAAACGAGTTACACGCCGCTGATAATTATTGTACAATTTTAAATTTTAAATATTTTTACGCTGTAAATTTTGTAATGAAAAATTTCATAACAATTTTTTTAAAGTATGAAGTTAATTTTATTGATTGGATAGTTATATCAGCAGCAAAATTTACGAGAATTATGAATCAAGTTTTTATTAATCTAAGCGACCTTTGTTATCAATTTTATTATTACGAATAAAATTGATTGACGCTTAGCCATAATCTCTTTTTGTCAGGTAGATGTTTTCACTTGTTTTATTTTTTTGATGTGGTGCTTTCTCTGGTTTTAGCTATAGAGTGAAGTAAACCATTTCATTGTTTTTTTTTTTTTGGATTTATCCATCTAGTATCCCAGGGCAATAGGCATCTTTCAGCCGTGACAGCGGTCCCAGACTAATCCGGATCGAAGGCTTGCAAGGAACCTTTCGGTCGGCGCCCTCTGGCCCCTCAGGGTGCTGCGTTCCCACGGCTAGAACTCGAGACCCGTGGTTAAGTTAGGACAGTCCCAGCCAACTGACCTAACCTTTCGGGGTTCCATTTCATTGTTTTTTAAGGTATGGTAGATGGCATTCTCAAATTTAGTTAAAATTATGTAATTTTTAAATTTTTTCCTCACTAAAATTAGAGCCGGTAATATGCAAGCCTAGCCAGCCAACCCGCCAAGTACGGACTTCTCTAATCTGTACTGCTTTGAGCCGATCCGTCTCGGGCTAGCCCGCTTTTCTTTTATTTTTTTTTAATTTTTATTTTCATACAATTCCTAATGTATTATAGAACATAGTTAGAGAATTTTGACCCTCAAATTCCATACCGACATCGCCTCATTCAAGTAATTGCATATATAGTACACACATAAAGATCTACTTAATTTGGATGCAAAAAATAGTCAAATTAATTATTTAAAAAAAATATGCGTCGGTTTTTCTAAAATATCTTGTCAAATTATAAATCAATCCTCACATTATTTTATTATAAGCAGCTTCTCAAGTTCAAAACTCCAAATTCAATTTCAACATTTCAAACTAAGCTCAATTTATACAAATAATAATTTTTTGTAAAAAAAATATTTTGGCAGGTCAGCAAGCTGGCATTTTGCCTGCTTGCCAAGGTGTGAGCAACTTCAGCTTGCACCGGTACAGTTGGCCTGTATCTACACCACCAGCCTATATTACCAGCGCTAACAAAAATTAATATATACAATGAAATGTCCTATTAGAATTACAAATATATCAAATCCCATGAAAAGAATAATGATAATAGCAATAAGCAAAGGAGGGGCTCTTTTTTTTGGGGGGGGGGGGTCTACATATTTGTCATTTTATTGGACCCAGCTAGTTCGCCCCAAATCATGACTGAATGAAGTAAATTTCATGTAATATAGTAATGGTCAGTATTTGTATTGATTATTTGCTTTGTTTTATATTTTAACTTTTATATCACATGAAAATATTATTGTATAGTGTTAATAATTTTTAAATATTTCCAATAAAATATAATGAAGTTTTGTTATGAATTTACGATTCGTTCATATATATATATATATATATATAAATATTTTCAAGTAAGCATAGTCCATATAATTGCTTGATAGAAAAATTATCGAAAATGCCTAACACGGTTAATTTGAATTGAATTACTCTACTTTAATTTCTTAAAAATAATTATTTTATATTAAACAGAAACTAGAGTTTTGTTATAAACTCTCTTTGTAACAAATCAAAAGCTTCAATTAATTCTATTTCAACAAACATATTTTCCCTGGTTTGGCCGAGAAAAAAAACATATTTTCCCCGGCAGGACCTTTTAGGACATTAAAATCAAATTCCGCCCAAAACGATCCATGGATGATGGACCCATGTGGACACGCTGAATTGTCTCGTGCCGATGACTCGCACCTCATTTCACTCGGAATTAACCGGAAAAAGAAAAAAGAAAAAAAGAAAGGGTAGTTGGGTCCTGATTTTGTTCACGGGACATAAAAAAGTTCGTCATTCCTGATTTTGTTTTTTTCTTGGTGAATTGGGTTCCAAAAACTTTTCAGGATCAAAGCATACCTCTAGGTTCAGAGAGCACTTATAGAGGTACTTGTAGATTGCTCACCAACAAGGTCTTCGTATCAGCAGCGAGATTCAAACTTACAACTTTATGGGTTATGAACCGACCCTTTACCAATTAGATCAACTCTTGTTGGTCTTGATTTTGTTTATTATTAATACATAATAGAAACTTTGGCCAAAAAAATACATAATAGAAACCAAAATATTTTTGAGCAAATGTGAATTCGGCACCCAGATCTTTTGTATGGTACATTATCTTTGTTTTACGGTGTTGGGCACCACAATCTATTTTTAGTGCATTCAGCTTCTTAAAGATTGGCATGCTGAATGTAACTAAAAAAATAATATCAAACTCCGTAGACACCATCAAAATAAGATTAAAGTGTTAAATTTGAGATTTTGAAATTCAAGAGATTTTTTTAAGGTTTTTTCATTCTTAAAAGTTAAAACAGAGTTATATTATTACTCTTTCAATCCTACAAAATAGATCTTATATTGATGATCGGATAGAGTATAATTTAATTCCTTTTCCTCCGAGATAATATATACTAATTCGTGGTCTAATTATTGTTTTTATAAAAAAATTTAAGGTCTAATTTTAAAATTTTAGCTTTAGGTCTATTATAATCCTAATAACTCCCATATTAATTATATATATATTCCTCATACTTTTTCCGTTGCAATATTTTTATCTCTGTGCAATAAACCTTAATCATTAAATATATATATATTTTTCTCACACCTTTCCCCCCCTTCCCTTTTCGATTGCTTTGCGTATTTCTCAGACAAAATGTGAACACGTTTTTCGTTTGTTGTATCGTGGTGATAACATTATGATTCGTACAAAGATGAGGGGGCGAAATTAGTCTTTGATTTTGACAAAAAGCTAATAACTAGCTTGTGATAACGATCATCATTGTGTCGTCCTGATTCGCGAAGGAAGGTATCTACTGTTAATGACTGTGTGCTTGAATTTTCAGCTACACTAAATTGAATTATCCCAACTCCCAATTAGCTTATTCGGCGCGTATGATTATCGGAACACGTTATAAAATCATCCGTAAACAGTGAAGACTTGTTGGACAGGGAAACATTAAATTGTGAACAAGTATACTGGTAGTAATTTTGAACAATTTAGGTATTGATGACTAGCCGTCCTTCTTACACCTTGGTTATAATTATGTTTGTAACTATTTATAAACACGTTTTATATAAGTTGATATAAAATTCTTTTCACATATTTATTTTATATTTTATACATTATAATTAAAAAATTACTTGTAAATTGTTCTAAATATACCTTACTCCTTTTATTTCTCTCTGAAATGAAAGTGCTTCAATACCCATGTTGTTTAGGTCTATTTCTGGCGCCACTCTCCCCATCTTCAATTGTATTAGTGGGTGTTTGGATAAAAATCAAATCATAATTTAAAAAGTAATTTTACGGTATACAAAATAAATATGTAAATGAATTTATCTCGATTTGTGATATTTTTTATCATATTCAAACACCCCTTTAATATGGAAAAGACATTGTTGTAAATTGAAAGAAAGTTTTTTTTTTTTTCCGTTTAAAAGAAAGGTAAGGTAAAATATTATCCATTTCCTTAACCTTTTTTGTCAATTGTGTGCATATTTTGATCTCATCTATAATGTATCTAATGTCCTAATATTATTATTTTTAGTATATTTAACACCTCATATTATAACAAGATTAATATTGGATCTGATTAAAAAATAATAATATCGCGCTGTTGTTCATGTATAACTTGTGCCGATTATTAACAGCAACATTTTGCCTTGAAAGAAATGCATATTATCAGTAATCTACAGGTAGTAATCATGATAGTTCTGGTTCATGGCTGTTCTTATATTATTGTATTATCATTAAAGTAATGATAATTACTAAAGGGCAAAGACAAGAGAAATATATTAAAATATAAATCATGCCTAACCACGCATTAGGAATTGCAGACCAAGGAGTGTTGCAAAGAAAGTGGAATAATAGTACAATAATACTAATTAATTAATAATATCATCAAATGTTAATGCATCTTAGTTGTTAGGTAATTATCAATATATCCGGGCAAGATTAAGGTGTTAAACAAAATGTTAATTAAACAAGTCTAAACAAACAACCTATATATATTGATTAATTATTCTGGTCGTATTTGCCTCTTCATGTTAAATTCAACAAAATAATGTCATGGATTTGGCGTTTTTTAATACCCTTTACTGCTTAAAATCAGTTCCATAAACGGAATTAAACATAATTTGTTATTTATTTTTCATATCAATAAAAACCATCTAAAATGTGCTACTCATATACTAGAGCTCGCCACTCAAAAAAAAATTTTTTTTGCCTAAGCATAAGCATATTCTTATTAGAGGCAATCCTA